TAGCACATTTAAAGAACAGAAGGCATTTAAATTCTACATCTCTAAAAAAAACACCAAACTGTTTCAAAATGCATGATAAACTGAAAGGTGTGTGTTACTATGTGGCTTGTACTTTGGAAAGTAAAAATCACAGCAATTTAGTGGCCATTAAAATGTGTTCAGAATTTATAAATTAGTGATGATTCAACTCATAAATCACGACACATTGCTGTTCCTTACATAAGCTGCTTTTTTAAGTATTGGTATCGCTAGTATTGGCTCTGTATTTACTTAGTATTGATTCAATACCAACATTTGCAGTATCACACAGGAAGATGTTGACTTGCCTGCAAATTGATAACTGAGCACTAAGCTGAAGTTAAACTTGAGAAAGTGGGACGCAAACCAGAAACAGAGAATGTTCCCCTTCAAAGTAAAAGTCGTAATTTACTACTACTACTATTGCCCGCCACCCCTCCCAGGGTATGGGGTGCCACAGGTAGATCTCCAGAGATTTCTGTCCTGGGCCATTCTTTCTAGTTGGGTCGAGGCGCAACCAATATATTTTAAAGGGTGAAGGCTTTGCTTTGAAGGTGGATGTTTTCTTTTCTTTTTTAGTGAGTTTTTGGTGAGTGTTTGCATTTCATTCAGCAATAGCCTGCAACAACTTGCCAACTGATTGGGTAATTTTTTCCCCTAGCAACGAGCAGTTACCTGGGAATCCCTTACCAATCTCTAGGCCTGTGTGGCTCGGGCCTAAGGTCTGAAACTCAAAGCTTTTACTGAAGCTATTTACTGTTGTAGGGTCTTTCATCGCTCAGTTTTTGTCTTCAGCAAGTAAAATGCTCATTCATGTTTGGGGGTCTCTCTGTGAAGTAAGCAGCCAACTTTGCTGCGTTTGTCTGAGTCTGAGCAGAGAATTCACCCTTATGCACTTAATAATTTAAAGAGCTGTAAACAGCTGAAATGTGAGCAGACAGACTGCATAACCTCTGCCAAGGCTGAAAAGCACATCACAAGAATGCCTGGATCTGGATTAGCTCGTTATATTTTCCTGAAATTTAAAACAGTGTATCTCAGTTTTTCAGCTTGCATTTGTAAATGTGACACCAAAACTCCAAGACTGCCCTGCCTTTGAAAAAAAAAATGCTGAAGTCTCACTTGGACTGTATCCTTAGATATGCTCCAATATTTATCATCCCTGCATTAGCATACTGATTCTTGGATGTACAATAATCTGTTCCTCAGGTTGAGGAGATCCGGGAGATGGTGGACAATGACCTCGGCTTCCAGCAGGTGGAGACCAAGTGTCCCTCAAAGACCAAAACCTTCCTCTTTATCTCTAATGACAAGAAAGTGGCTGGGTGTCTCATAGCTGAGCACATACAAGAGGTAAGAGATGATGATGAGCACATTTGTGAATGATCATCGTGTAAAAATTGGGATAAATGAAATTCTTGGCTGATACAGATGTTTAAAATAGCTTAAAATATGAACTAAAATATTGCTTTTTGTGTTTCTAATCTTTCTTTCTTCCTCATGTAACAGTTTTAAGGTATCTGAGCATTTAGACGGACCAAATGGATATAATACAATAAACAGATGTTCGACCGCTGCTATCTGTAAGTGTCCGTTTATTCTGTGACGTTTACTGAGGATTGTGCATGCTCACAGGGGTACAGGGTGATTGAAGAGCCCATGCCAGAGGGTTCAGAGGGAGAGAAGTTGATGTTTGAACGTCAGAGAGCTTGGTGCTGCTCCACAACGCCAGAGCCCGCCATCTGCGGCATCAGCCGCATCTGGGTGGTCAGCATGATGAGACGTCAGGGCATCGCCTCGCGCATGCTCGAGTGCCTCCGGTCAGTACGGCTGCAAACCGCCAGCCATTTCATCGTCATCATCTCACACACACACAATCAAAGTCATATTAATGCAACTCGTATTTGTTTGTTTTTCTGCACAGGAATAATTTCATATACGGTTCATACCTGAGCAAAGATGAGATCGCCTTCTCCGACCCCACTCCCGACGGGAAACTCTTCGCCACGCATTATTTCGGCACTTCCAAGTTTTTGGTTTATAACTTCGTGAGCGGGACACGCTCGCACCAACCCAAAACCCAAGCAGTATGACGGTCTTCAGATACCGTAACGATGGCTTCATCTGAGACGCTCACCGACCAGTGGGACATCCTCACCAAACACTGAATCTTCACGTGTGTTTTAAAAAGAAAAACCTCCTCGGAGGGGTTACACATTGGTTCAAACTCAGGATGAAAACAACGAGGTGTTGTTGAAACATGATATTTCACCCTTTAATCCTTCCCCGCATAGTATTTTGAAGAAAAAGAGTATTTTCTTTATACATTTTTAAGTAAACAATTGGTTTTATTAGGAGAATAGAGTTTACATGCATGATCTGACAGCAATAGAAAACAAAGAGCATTTAATCGTTTTATCTTTTGAATCCTCGTGAAGCGTAACCATCAACCTGCTGCATTAAACAAATGGTTATTTGCAAGTTTGTTCCTCAGTCGGTTTTTGTCATTTTTACACCCGTTTCCTGTAGTGGAGTGTTAAGCTGCCGTTGTCTCCAGATGTGTTTAAGCGACGTCGATAATCCCTGAAGGGCACAACTGCACAATTTCTTTTGAGGGGTTAAGCTGTGTTTCCTACACTTTGATTTCACTGTCATGTTTTTATTGTAGTATTTCAGAAACAATTTCAACACCTTGATTAGAGAGATGTGGATTAGAACTGTAGCTTGGGCATTATTTGTGTGCTCTGATCTCCTGAGATCACATTACCTGACTTTTTTTCCCTCAAGCCGAGCCATATACTGTACACCGTTTAGCGGGGCGTTATAGCCTAAACTGTATGAGTGGTGTCTTTAAATTTCACCAAGGCTGTCTTTTGCTTTGTTTGTGCCTGAATGAATCATGTGTGACTTAAGTTGTTGATTTATTTTCTTTACTTTTTTAGCCACATGTTCTTCTTAAGTAGCATCTGGCTTTGTTTTTTTATTCCAATAGTGTAGATTATCATCTTCCTATTCCTTAGTAACAATGAATTAAAATGTATATCAAATTATCATGTAGATTTATGCATAGTATAACAAGATTTATAATGAAAGATGGGCAAGTTCTTAAGTGTCACGTGTTAAATGGTGTTTGAGTGAAGGTAAATATCAACCAGGTTCAGCCTTTATGATTGAAAACAGGGATATTTGCTCAGTGATCAACATGAGGGGTTTAGATTAACCCGCCTCTCTTCAGATTAACAGTATCATCGTAATCCACCTCTTATTTTCTTCTTCCTCCTTGTTACAGCGGTTGATTTTAGAACGATGTGGTTGTGTAAGAAAAAGACATTTGATTTATACGAAGCTGTTATGTAAATATTTATTTAAATAAAAGTAAAATGTAAAACATTTTTGGTGTTTCTGATTAGCTGTTTTTGACCTTGTATGGATTTTTCCCAATTTTCTGTCATGTAAATGCTGTTATAGTCGTGGCTTCTGATATTAAAAGAGTTTCAAATAACGAGGTCAGTATACACTCGCTGGCCATTTTATTGGGTACATCTTACCAGTCTTTTGCCTTAATTCTTTGTGGCTTAGAATCAGCGACATTCCTCAGAGATTTTGGTCCATTTTAATTCAGCAATCTCTTGATTAAGAGTCATGTTCAAGAAATATGTTTGTGATCATTTGAATTTTGTGACATGGAAGCAGCCATGAAAAGATGGGAACACTGTGGTCAAATGGACATGGTCAGCAGAAATTCTGTGGTGATTCGGTGATGCCCAGTTGCTATTAAAAGTCCCACATCCTCAAACCATCAGCAGCCTGAAATGTTGCTGGAAGGCGGGGTGGATCCATAATTTTATTTTTATGTCAAATTCTGATCCTAATGAAAACTCATAAGACCAGAAACCCTTTTTCTGATTTTGGTTAGACTGTTTGTATAGTCAGTTTCCAGAGTGTGGTCTTCTGCCGCTGCAGTCCTTCTGAGATGCTCTTCTGCATACCTTGCTTGTAATAAGTGTTTGAGTTATTGTTTCCTTCCTGTCAGCTCAAAGCAGTCTGGCCATTCTCCTCTGACCTCTAACAGACATTTAGCTTAACAAACAGTTGAACAGCATGTTCAAGTCGATTGAATGTGCAAATACTCTCTTTGAACCAACAGTTTAGGCTTAATGTCATAATCAGTGAGTTTTAGACCGTTTTTTTCTGACTCTCGACTCTCAGCGATGTCAGCGAGAGTGGATGTCCCTAATGTGGTCATCTCAGGCACAGAAGCCCCACCCACTTGCGGTTCAAACATAAAGTTTAGGGAGGTACAGACCGTGATCTGAGGTTAGTATAAGATAAACAAGGATTATTTTCAATAGTGAATCATGCAAAGCTAATATACTAAGATTGAAAATAAATATACGTAGCTGTAAATCAGCATACTAGGTCTGCTTTAATTGCCCGTGACCCTGTTTTTTTTGTTTTATGAGTGATGCCATCTAGTGGTCATCGTCCTGGTGCATCTGTGTTCGGTGATAGTCGAAGGATTTTTACCCTTCTTTGCTTTGATGTAAAAATCGACTTCAGCAGAAAAAATAGTCTTAAATCGTCTCAAATTGTGGGAAATGTCTGGCTGCCGTGTTTTCTCTTTGTAGTTGCACATGTAAACACTCCCCTCTTAGCGCATTCCTAGACGCTCCTGTCACAACACGGGCCAGCTCGATGGCAACTTCTGAGAAACAAAACAGCCTTAGAACAACACAAATGCTTCCTCAAACAGAGTGAGAAAACAGAGGTCTCCGCTCCTCTTCAGAGATCTGCTGATGCTAATCAGCAAGAGAAAACAAGCGAGCTGAGCTTCTTGAGGTGTCTTTAACACGACGCCCACCTCAGCCTTTAGACTTTTACTCACCAAAAAAGGCTAATCTCCAAGACATTAATCACCCAGGATCTATAAAAATAATCTGGACTGATTTTAGTCTAAAAGATGTGAAAATAGAAGACCAACATTTGGAAACACATACTTTTAATTCTTAAATGTCAATTTTAAAAGACAGAAACGTCACAGCTGCCACATCGTAAACCATAACACAGTTTGTCCTAATGATAGAAACCAGGTTATTGCAAATATGCATTAAACTATGGATACTAAGCGAAAACCAGGAAAGGTCCTATTTACACTGTAGTCAACTGATACAATATGTATAGTACAGAATTTGAGTTCCGCACAGGCCACAAACTGACCTGTTCACTCTGCGGGTTTGCCTGACATCTGCTTGGGACTTAAACTGTTTAGAGTTTTAAAACGAGATTACAGTAATGCTCTGAGTGCTTGTTTTGACAGGCAACCTATAGGGTGAGAAGAGCTGCTCTGAAGTGTAAAATGGCAAATATACACTTGATGTGTCAAACTTTTGAACAAGCAATATAAAAAGACAAGTCGAAGCACAAGGTCTTGTTACACACGGGCAAATGCGAGGGTTGAAAAGGGTTAATCCGCTAGCCTGCGCATCTGTGACGCATTGTTACACACTTGTCATTGGCTCAAAAGACTTGACATATGATAGTGTATCATGCCAAAGCTATGGCAACAGCAAAAAAGTAGGCACCAAAGAAAATATTTCTCACTGTGGCCTAATAATGAACACTTATTTCGTCCATATTCGGTGATTATGTGAAAAAAAGCTGCCCCTTTTACAGTAAAGGACAATGCTGTCCACAAAAATTGTACAGTACATCTAATATGTCCTGCTCCGGGAGCCTTCTATTAACGACACCCTGACCTTTTCCAGGCTGCACCACCACTACAACTTCGCCTTCAGGTTGAGGCTCCATCATTGGGTGCACTTTGTTGTCCATCATCTTAAAGTCAGTCAGGCCGGGCAGCATGCCGTTCCTCTCGGCCCACGTCTTGGTGTCTTCTGAGCTGTCCTTTTCCTCTGTGATGCTGTCGCCATTTGCGCTGCTTTTGCTCACCGTGCTCAGCTCGTCGTGACATATGTCCGACTCGCTGCCGTGGGGCAAAGAAAAGTAGGTGCACTTCCTGGAAAGCAGTTTGGTCTTGTCTTCTTCTGGTTCAGGTTTTGTGGCGAACAGAGAATAGGGACTTTTCTCCTCTGTGTCCTCAAACGCTCCTTTGCCTTCAGGAGTGTTTGTAAAAGATTTGTTGATTCCAATTGGATCTGAAACAGACTTTCGGATGAGGGTGTTGTCTCTAAGCAGCCAGCGTCCGCTATCAATGGGAATGCTGTCGCCGGGGCCGACCTGTGCATTAAAGGCGATGCATCTCGTCGCTTCACTTAAGGTGTCGAGGGCATTTGTGGAGTAGAAGTATGAGAGCTCAGACACTGCTTTGGATCGGGCTGTGTGGAAGGAAGCGAGGATGCCCGACTGTCCATTTTTCTCCTGCTTTGGCTCAGATGGGGGCCTTTCACTTGCTTCCTCATCAGTATTAGCATCCTTCTTGCCGTAAAGCCTTTCGATTGTCCTCCTCACGAAGCCTTTAGTGATGGATTTCCGCGCCGAATCATCTTCCCCACTTGACAGTTCGCTTGAAGTCTGAGATTGATATCCACCACTGACAGAGGTCTCGGCTCTTAGCTCAGCCAGCTCTGATGTGTGAGGAATTGGGAAACGAGTTTGCTGGATGTTGGTGGCGCTCCTGGCTAAGAACATCTCCCTGATGGATCTGACCCTGCTGCCTTCAGGCTCCGTGGTTATAACGCCACTGGAGTCGTAGCTGAAGGATAACGACGACTGGGGAGCCGATCGGGTGCAGAGAGTCACCTGAGATGTGGGTGATTCACAGGGTAAATCCTCGTCGTCTGAGTCCTGAGGGGCCTCTTTTTGCGAGTAAAATCTGACTGCAGAACTTTTTGTTGTGCTTTTTCTTTTCTCTGCATCAGCAACTCGCTTTTCTAGAAGAATTACTCTCTCTGCAACTGACTGGGAAATCATTTCTTCAGACTGGACCTTCTCCACAGACTTTTCAGAGGTAGTGCCTTCAGACTGTGTTGCCAATGCAGGAGCTGCTTGGTCGGTTATAGTTTCTCCTTTATATCTGTCCACATGAGCTTTTTCCTCCTCTGAGCTGGACTCTTTTTCATAGTAACTTAACTCTTCAATTGAGCTGGTGATTTTTTCCTCTTGGACCTTCGGCTCCTCTTCATCTGCGTGCTCTTCAAAGCTGTTGTGATCGTTCCCGCTATCATCGTCTGCATTAAACCTACAACTCTCTTTTTCCGAAATCTGATTTTCTATTAAATTGCTATGCGTGCTATCACTGTTTGTCCTGTCATAAATATATGTCTCCTCAATGTAAGGGTCCTCATCTTCTGAGCTAACCTTGTCTTCATTTGGCTCTTCAATCAAAGCTGTTAAAGACGATGAAGCTCTTTTCTTTTGCTCGCGATTATCTGGAAGGTCACAAAGCTGTTTCGCCTCCATGTCCTCCTGCTCTTCCTCAGTGCCGGACATGCTTTCTTCAACAATAACCTGCAGCTTCTTGCTATCAACCTCTGGCTGCTCTTCCTCTGAAGATGGCTCGTCCATGTCTGAATTTCCGGTGCTTTCATCAGTCAGTCCCATGCTGTATGTTTGGCTCGGGTATTCCTTCTCAGAGATGGGCTGACACACAGGGGCAGACGAGTCACCTTTGCTCATCTCGGTACTCGTGACCTTTGTCCAATTTTCCCTGTCTAGGCTGGTTATGCTTTTCTCCTCTCTTACATTTAGTTCCACGTAATAGCTGGGGCTTGGTAGCTTGCTATCTTCCTCCTCAGAGGGACTTTCAGGTTTGGACAGGTCTTCACTCTCGATACTCTCGTGTTTGATCTCCTCACATGAAGTTTCCGACTCGTCCCCTGAGCTCTTCGGCTCACCTGCATCTGAATTGATCACACTTTGCTTACAACTCCCTCTTTCTGCTAATTCTTTACTGGCACTTGCGTTCTTTTTCTGCCCTTCATCATCTGCACCTGAGTCCTTCTTGAAAATTTTCTTTCTCCCGACTTCTCCTTTGATGATATTCTCCCTTGATGTGTCCCAACATGACTGCAAGTCCTCCTTGTTCTCTTGTGGAATCGATGCTTTACTGTGAAGCCACTTTTCTTCAGTAACAGTAGGGTTAGCTGGTGGATCATTGTCTTTAGTGGTTGGGATTGTCGGTTTGTCCTTTGCTTCCTCTGCCATCAGGTGAGATTTGTCTGCTCCAGATTGTTGCGTTTGCTTAATCATGGACCTTACATCCACATCCACTTTATCATCTGGTGTGGAATCCAAAACAGTGGCGGCTTTCTCTTTGAAGAAATGATCAGCAATTTCTTTACTGCTATCTTTAGGTGACGACTCTGTAATGTCAGACTCACTTTTTGGACTTAATGAAAGAGAAGCCAGTTCCTCCTTCAGCTTCTCAGGTACATCGAGGTTATCCATGATCTCGTCAATAATGTTTTCTTCAGCGACACGCTCTTGTTCGGGGTTCTCTCCAGTTAGGAGTTCTGCCTCTGAACCATTTGGCGTTGAGCTGCGGCTTTTGCATTTGTCACTGAGTTCCTGAAAGCCCTTCCAGCTCTGCAGGAGCTGCTTTGAGGTCGTTTTTTGCAAATTTGACAAACTCGTCTGTAATCTGTGGGAATCCTCGATTTCTGCAATTTCTCTGAGCGAATCGATCATTTTTAAAGCCTCCGCACAGCTGACGCTGTTTGCGTTCAGCTCATTCCTATTCAAGTTTGTAAGCCCTTCCTGGAGGGTCATGACAGCCAAGAAAGCGAGAAGAGCTTTAGATGAGGAGCCAAATGTAGACACTACGTGGGAGGAGAAGTCTGGCAAGCTGTTGGACTTTTCCAGACACGATGGACGTTTGTTTTGAGTCATCTGTCTTATTGACTTGATTGAGTAGCAAATCTTTTCAAGGACTGGTTTCATGCTTGGCTGGTTTGCAGTGTTTAATGGCTTTATTATTTGCACGTTTGTCATAGGGTTCTCTTGATCTGCTGCTTCACCTTCTGTCTCGTTCTTTTCAATACACTGGTCAGCTTCCAGTGGCATGAAAGTGACAGAGGTCAGCATTTTATCTGGTTCAGCTTTTGAATTTAGTGACTGTGGTGTCTGGTGATTTTTTCTTAGGATTGATGTTGTCGTTTGTCTCATAGTTGTTTGCTCTGATGGGTTGTCAGAGGAGAGGTCTTTGGAGAGCAACTTTCTACCTGACTTGTGTTTGACAGGTGGCGACGCCATGTCCAGAGACTGGGAATATGGAGAGAGTCTCTTTTGCAGTTTTGGTTTATTAGTCTGCTTTCTCTCAGTGGAGGGGCTGCCATCTGAAGCTGCATGTTTTTGTGGTCTGATGTTTGGAGACAGAGTTTTATCCACAGGGCGGTTTTCGAACTTCCTCTCAGGAGATGGGCTGGTTTTTGCTTTTGCTTTTTTCACCAGGATCTTAGGTGTTGACGTCTCTTTTTGAGTTTCTTTACTCATTTCTCTCACTTTAAATGGGGTATTACTTGGCACTGATGCATCATTTGATGAGATACTGGGCGATGACAGCCTCTCATCAGATGTTAAACTAGATGGGGACACAGAAGTACCACACGACGGCCAGCTCGTCAGACCTGACCAGTGTGCTGCTTCTAGTTGGGCTTCGATTGATCGCTGTGATGGTGTTGAACAGATGCCATCACCTCCCACAGTGTTGTTCTCAGTAAATGATGTGGTCTTCTCTGGAGTGGCCTCACTGCTTAAAGCATATTTATCAACAGAAACCTTTCTCACTGACATTTTCCTTTCAAGAGACAGATTACTGACCAAAGGTGCCCTTTTAATAGAGGGTGTTCTTGAGAGCGATGCTGTTGTGTCATCTGTAAATGATACGGCCTTGTCAGACGTAGGACTGATGGGTAATGGATTATTATCTGTCCCTTCACTGCTCACTGATGAGAGCCTGTATAATGGGCTACTGTTCACTAATAACGCATCTTTCATGCAGTATTCAGTGTTTGATAGCTCTGTGCTTTCAGCAGGAGGAGGTGGCGGTGGTAGCTCCATTGAAAGCGTATTAAGCGGCGTTGCTTTTTGGAACGAGATCCGGACTGAGCTTGATTTATTTTCCACTTCACTGTCTAACAGTGCTTCTGTTGAGATCTTATCACTTGGTGGCACAGGATGGTTTATTTCTTCCTTTTGGGATTCGTTCTTCTGGTTTTCTGTGTTTTTTGTGCTTGGAGAATGATGAACAAGTTGAGGCCTGGCTGTAGCTTTCTCGACGGGTGGACTCGATTTGTTTTCAAAAGACTGGACTCTAAGTTTGACAGATGTTGCCAGTGAACTCTCTGGTGGAGGTTCTGAAGTTTGACACATTTCAATTTCCGAACACTTTACATCTTCTGCCACATCGATCAGGTCATGCTTATTTTTAGGCTCTTTATACTTGCCATTTTCTGCTTCCAGTTTTTGACGTTCCTCATGCAGGTGAGACGGGTGGTTGAGGTGGGCTTTCTGCAGCCAGCTTTCTACATATTCATTTGTAACAGCGCTGGAGGTGCTAAAAGCAGGCAACACGCTTCCATTAATATCATCGGGCTCGTTTTCGCTCCTTTTCTCCACATGCATCGATGTCTGCCGTGTCAGTATTCCCCGTATCTGGCTGACCTCATTGGGAGAAACATTCATCTGGCTTGTATCAAAAGAAACTCTCTCTATGGATTTTTTTAATACTGATTGCACATTTGAATCTTTGTCCGTGCTTCTTGTTGTCTCATCTGACACTTCTGAGCTCTTTGCTGTAACACCTCTGTCCCTGTTTTGTGCTGGTCTCTTTTGAAGGTTTTTCAGCGTTTTCGATGACTTCATTTTGTTTCCATAAATCCTCCTAATGTATCCGGCACTGGAGAAAGCTTTTACTTTTTTATGTGCTTCCATTGCCTCTGCAGTATTCTGTTTTTGTCTTTTTCGTGGTGTTGCGAGCCTCTGAACCACCTTGGGCTTTGAGGATGCCCTCTTATCCATGCTGGCGTCTTTTTGATGGGTCTTTGTTTGGATTTTTCTGGGTTTTTGGAACTGCTGCTGTCTATTTTTTCCTCTCACGACACCATTGTGCTGCAACTTTACTGACATACTTTCACTCTTCCAGATACTAATGGACTCGGATGCCGTTGACGATCTGCAGAGTTCTGATTCAAATTTATTATTCGATGACATCTGCCCTGTTTCTGAAGTAGGTGGACTTCCAACAGTCGTAGTAGTGTGTGCACAAACATTTGCAAGGAAATTGTCCTGGCATGTTTGCTGTTCATATATGTGTATGACTGTCTCAGTCACCTCCTCTCCGCTGGATTCACTCTGCACGATCTCACTCATTTCTGCAGATTTAAATCCAGAAACATTTTTACTGTTGACATCAACAGAGCTGAGTCTTCTTGGTTTGGGCACCGGTCTAGTGCTGCTCTGCTTGGCCATGCAATACTGCTCTGTCATTGTTCCATTTCCTGTCTGCTCACTGTAGGAATAAGAGCCAATAGTTCCTTGCTGAATCCCATCTTCTGTAACTGATATGATACTCTCCACAGAGGCATGCTTTTTGCTAATTTGCTTGTATCCTGGTGTCGGAGCTCTCCCAGAGGACAATGCATCTGAGTGGTTTTTGACGATCTCCTCTTCCTTACCGCTCTCACTTAAAGCTCCATTACCGAGCGATGGTGGATCATCGTCATTGTTGTCTTGAGTTTTGTCCTTGTGCCACTTGGTGTCGTCAGTGGCAGCAAGACTCTGTAAATCCAGTGAGTTTGATTTAGGCGAGCAGATGTCCAGCTCTGCCTCAGTCTCCGGTAAAGAGCTCACATTATGCTGGCTGGTCACGCTTGAGCGTGTCAGGGTGGTGGTCCAGTGGATGGCTTCCTCTTCCTTAATTGTCAACCTCACCTTCATCTCCACCGTCATGCTGCCGTCCTGATTCACCTGGAAGGACTTCTCAATATTGTCGTCGCTGGGCAGCATGTAGTCCTGCCCTTCAGCTTCATTGCCATCTGTCTCTGCTACAGACTCCAGGATGCGATTTGACTCCAACTCAACAGAGTTTGTGGGGTTGCTGTGTATATCACAGGAACTCTCTGCGATGGTGCTGTGGATCTGATGAACGATGTACCTCTCAGATGACGAGGAAAAATTCCTTGACTTCCCTTTACCTTTTCAAGGAGTCAGGCAGGAGATTGAAGAGGAGAGGACACCCGAGAAGCATGAAGGGAGAAGAGAAAGAGCAAAAGGAAAGTTAGAAAGATGATATGAGTGCTGCTCATCAAGCAGACTAGCCAGTCAAACCAGTGACTGTGTATGTAGGTCATCTACAGTATTATGTACATATCGTTGCCTCAGCACTTCTCCAAGCTTTATCCCATGAGGCCAGGTAGATTACTCCAGGCGCACTGATTGTGTCATATGAAAAGAGCTCTGCTGAACTGACGCTACTCTTCGAATTGTGCCTGCAATGTATTCTCCTCATGTAAATATGATAATTTAGTCTTAAAAACCTTAAAAAAATAAAATAAAAAATGTTTATTTGAATATAAACTTACGATTCAAAGCCTTTTGCCTCTTGAGACTCATTTGCTTGGTACGCCGCCATGTTGGAGATGGAGATTTCTGTGCACTGTAGTTTGCAGGCCTGAATGGCTCCCTGCCCACAGCTACCACAGTTCCAGAGCACAATATCAAGCCTGGAACACCGTCAACCTGCAGCAGACAAGAGATAAAGAAGTTAGTCCTTTTGAATAATCTTGATTTTAATAACATGTTAAAAACTGGCAAATTGCATGCATAACTAGAAAAAAGTATTATTTTCTAATTATTATTTGTGAATCACCCTCAGGTTCTGATTGTATTAGATCCTTGACCTAAAGCCTTACAGTGCAGTATCCCAGAAGGCCTTTCTGGGTATTAGGGTGAGTGGCCAAAGAAGCTTAACATTTTCTCTCCTCATGCGACAGGTATTTTATGCCAAGGTTAAATCAGTCTCTTATGGGAAGTGTAATCTATTCAACAATGATACTAATTTGTTTCCAATTAGAGGAAATGTTTTGTGAATATTCATTGATTCATTGATTCTTAAATCCCTTTTCTATGTGTTGCACTGACAGAGGAGAACACTCACACGTTTGCCATCAGGAGTGTGTAATTTCACCACATGGAACTGCATGAGCTCTGAGATATATTCCAGGATAGCCTCGTAACTTGGAGAAGTCTTCTTGTGAAGCACCACAGTGTGTTTTACAGAGGGGTCCCCATTGCGGAAAACCAGTAGGCTCTTGGGTGTGCGAATAAGCACTAGCTCCTGTTTGTGGATGCTCTGGCCTGGGAAAAACAGACCCTGCTGAATAGTCCGACGGCGAGAGCTAACCGGTCTGGCGTGGTACCAGGGTGGCAGCTTCTTTCTGGCCAATGCCAGATTGATGGGCTTTACCTTACCGCTATCTGAGCAAAGGTAGGATTTCCCATCCTTAAGTTCATCCAAAGATTTGACTGCATGAATCCCCCGAGGAGTGGTGATGTTCCTCACCCCAAACGGCAGGGGCACCTTCTTGGAGAGACTGTCCAAGAGTGCATCAAAGGTCTTAAAGGTGCGGTTGTTGATGACAAGGCGCAAACCATTGAACTGAGGATCTCCGCTCTTGTAGAAACAGACCCGCTTTGATAAGATAGGGTCAATGACGCTTGGGTGGCGTGAGGTGGCAAAAGTTTGCCCACTCCCCGATGACTGGTCAGGGAGGGCGTTCCGAAGTCCTGCCTCATTCATCATCGCTGATTGGCTGTGAGAGGAGAGAAAGAGAGGAACAGAAGTTCAGCAAGAACTGGTTTTGATTGTTGCCTTTTGGTACAAAAAGCTCCTCTAGTGTTGAGTTATTGCTCAGAAGCAGCCCAAATTTACTACACATGAAATATGAAAATATGAAACACCTTAGATTTTGATGTTGGCAGAGTGACTGGAATTCTTCCCTTGGCTCTCCCCGCTCAGAGTTTCTATATAAAGTCCATGTATGTTAAATTTTCCATCCATTGGACTCTTTAAAGTGGTTTCTGTGGTGTCAAACACTGCACTGCTGCTGTTTCTGAGATAGACATAAGGTATTCATTTTGCTGGTGCTGTGACACACTTGCCATGGTCATACAGCAACAATGTTGATATATGAAAGCAGGAGGGGCTGCGGGGGTATAACTGCCAGCCAACAGGATGCTGGTCTTTGTTTTTGCATTTAATTCATTTTCACTTGTTTTGTTGGTTTCTTTTTTTTTTTGTGCTTGCTGTTTCTTTAGGTTTTGGGACCAGATCTACTTGGTTAAGTTAGACCTCAGTCAGACAGACCTCAAGACCCACAGTGACCCCCTGACAATCTATGGTGCTAGACAAAAATATGTATTTAGTGAGTGGTTGGTGAAAAATTGTCCCAGTTGCTGGCAGTTTGAATGGAAGACACTGACTTGTCTGCAAATGCTCCTAGTGTCTGAGCTAATCAGATTAGCAACCAGTTTCATGACACCCAGCAACCACTTGCCAACTGGTTTTCCCTCGTAACCAGTGATTACTGGAGGGACACTGAGTGTTCTCTAAGCCTATGTGAAAAAAGGGTTTCCTGAATTGATTTCCCACTTACTGCCATGAACTCTGCCTACAACTCACAACCATTTGGTGAATACACATTTTCTCCTCCTGACCGGAGGTTACCAGATGGTCTCCAACTGGTCTCTAGGCCTGTGTGACTGTTTGCAGTCAGAGTTAATATACAATCAATCACAAAGTTAACCCTGCACATTAAAAAAAATGACACCATTAAGTACCCATGACTCCAATACGTCCTGAACACACATCTAAATGTGAGACACTGGGAGTGAGGCCCCACTGTAGTTTCCTGCTGATGTGTCAAAAGCATCTTCGCGCAAACAAACAACACTCGGTCTTCTTTGTGAATCAACTTCATATGTCTTTTTTTCTTTTCATCGAATTAACCATTTCCAGTTATTTATATCAGATGTACATTAAATTAACATTTAAGTATATTAATAATTATTCTTCCTCTAATTTTGGGAGCCATTGTTCGTTGACAATCAAATGCTTTTTGTCCATTTAGACAGGTTTTCTCGTACTTTGTGAAAACCTACTTGACCTTTTTCTTCTCTGAATCTTAAATACACGTATCCTGCATTCAGGGTGTATTTTATAAAGCTGCTTCATGAATCTGGATTAAAGATGACTGTACCTCCTGGGATTTTTGCAAAGACACAAACAACTTAACGCCATGTTCGAGGCAAACAGCTGAATGACGTCTTCTGAGCATATGTTGTTTACTTTGCCCAACTGCTGCCATCAGGTAACATGATCTAACTTTTGGGAAACCAGCCAGTTGCGTGGCGTCTGCTTCTGATTACCTGGCTTAGCGGCGCATAAGTGACAGAAATATTTCACAAATAATTCCCTCTTACCAGTTTTACTTTGAGCATATGCGTAAACATGCCACAGTTACATGTAATGTTCAAGTTTCCTTTTTAAAAATTTACAGTGCCAATTAAGCTATTTAATGTTGATTTATTATTGATAGTAAAGTTAGTTGGAGCAGACTATAAATAGATTTTTAAAAAAGCATTTTCAGAATGGAGAAAGTATATATATGCTATCGGTACATAATCTGTTAGGATTTTTATGGTGTTACAAACACTACAAGTATAAACACAGTACACCTGAGTAAGTAAATAGGTTAAACAATAGCTCAGTAAGTAAAAACAAATGAACAATTGTATGATTTCAGTGGGAACTCACCTTCTTTGGCATCACAAAAGTCCCAAATGTTTTTAAGAGGATCCATGAAATGTTATTCCGTGCTCTACATTGTGACTGCTGTTCAACTGACTGCACAGTAACAGTGTATTTCGGGAGACACCATCATAGTTAATTTGCTTAATCTTTGCTCAGAGTTAATCTGCGCTGGTGCAGGTGCAGCGCTCGAAAATCCTCTCCAGAAAGGTGTGTCACACAGAAACGTGGGGGTGTCACGTCAGGTTAAAGAAGTAGTCAAACAGATCTCAGGTTTATTAACAATGAGTTTTAAGTTGAAATGTAATTACACGTCATGCATGTGCATCTTCACCTGGGAAAATTTTGCAAGTGGCTGAAGAAAATCTGAAAAAATTTGGTTTTCCCCACCACCATTTCAACATTCAGAGTGTTGAAACTTCAAACAACTTCATATTTGAAGTTGAATTATGAGGTTACACAGGTTAAAATGTTTGGTTTTCTTCACAAGTGGCAACAGATGGTCCACTGATGTCCACAATATTTGTGCAGGGTTGTAATCTCATTGAAGACCTCTTTAAGTAATAAGGATTAAGGGACTCTCCATTCTCAGGACCCACAGAGACGATCACTTGTTTTTAATGAAATGGGTAAACATGCACCTTTTTTCCTTGAGAAATCTCATGACTGCTTTATAATTTATAATAGAGGTTAGTTTTGTCTTTGTTTCGAGCCTCTCTGAGCAGAACAAATGCACTACATGACACATAAAAGTACAATAACAAACGCTCGCAGACTTTTAGGACTTTACTAAACAAAAATAGTGTTTGTTCCAGAAATACAATTAGGTTTAGAAGGGTAATGGACTCCAGTTGTAGATCAGGTTAAAAGGTATTACTGCAGGCATTAGCCAGTCACGAATATCCTTAACCGTGAACGATCACGAGTTGCATAACAGTTACCAAAAATGGGCTGAACTGAATCTATTTCTGTAGTGAAAGGGATTAGTGTGCAAGGATGACTTAATTCCACAGTAAACCTGGGGCTGAAGTGAAGGAATCAAAGGAATACACAAAAGTTATCGGGTTTCAGCTCAGTACAAAAGGATAAAGTGATGACACTCTGTCGCACTGTTTATTTTACTGCTGTAAAAATATCTCAGGTGTGTACGAAACACACGATATGTGCTGTAGGAAAGAATTCCTGCCGAGCCCCAACCAGACAGGGATTCAGGAATGCCACAGGAGGCTCCCATGATCTCAGCCCATGACCTGTTCCCAAAACAACAACGAGCACAAAAATGTGAAAAATCCTTCAAAGGAAGCAGGGGGCGAACAATGGAGGAAGCCCTCAGCGTAAACAGGTAGGCCCGAAGCCTGAATACCCCCCATCCCAGCCCTCCACTGCAGAGAGATAAGAGACAAGCATAGGCTGAAACGGAGAGCGAGGGTTAAAAACAGTCTGGTTACACTGATAGAGCAGTGCGGATCCCGCTAAACACACACGAATTGGACTGAAAATAGTCTTGAGCCGAAGCTCTGCACTTAACGGAGCGCGGCAGGTAATAGCAACAGTTCTCTGAAGCTCCATTTGTCACATAACCTTCCACGTCACAGTCAGAACAAACCAGCTGGTGACATGAATACTGTTGTTTTTCCTTCACGTGAAATCACAGGCCGCCATGACGAAGACATCTGTCTCTGCGTTCCGGGTGTATTGCCACCCTTTGCCATGCTCTATATTTAAAGCCCGTGCGCCTATACTGCAACTAATTGGCGCCAAGTTAGATTCAAACCTATGCTGTTAATGGGAAAAAATGTGGGATATGTTTTGGCCCTTGTCCCCTTTCTATATTTGGCCCAGCGTCTCTCGTGCAGCTGTTCCTCCAGATCTGTCTCCCCGTGTTTCCATCAAACACCTCTCTTCAGTCTGCCTATATTGCCTCAATTCAAGAGCCTCTGCCAGCCTCCATCAGGCCCTGCTACACAGAAAATAATAATAGTTTTCCTCTGATGTTGAGCCACATTTGGGCTTTGTGTTATGACTTAAAATAAAATGCGCTGCTCTCTGTTTAGCCTTTGTAAGTTGTGGAACTCCTGCCGGCACTGCAGCTGTCAGAAATTCAATTAACAACGATACAGCTGCACTCTGACCAGAAACATTCGCTCCAAATTAAAGTCGTGCAACCGAACCCGCAACTATGACCTCTTTTAACTTTACTTGCATCCATGCGGGCGCGCTATTCCTACAGAAGTTTTAAACATGTGTGATAAAGTTGATGAATTCCATTTTCCTCCTCTTGGCGTCGATTGGTTTAACTAAAAAAATGTGGCTTGGCACACGTTTACAGAAAAATGTGCTTACTATTCAAAATTCCATTCAAGCCTCATGATGTTATATCTATTTTCCCCTCCCAACTTCCAGTGGAATTCCCAGATTTTGAATGAATCCGTGCCAAACAGGACTCGTAAGGTCACACCACCGCCCGTCCCGACCCCTCCGAAACCCCTCGCACAGCAGTCAGAGGTCCCCACCCCGTCCATTTTGAGCACTCCCTATCAGCTGTGCCAAGCTTTTAATCTGCCTGGTGACATCCCAGTGTTTCCTGCATAGGACAGAGGCAGAGATAAGCACACTCTTCGGTGCGGTAAATCACTCCGCACCCCCCCTCGTTCACTGATATCACCATTATTCAATTAGGTTGTACTCAAACTCACCAACATTCTTGGTAATTACAGTAAAAAACTTGCAGGGTGTGCACGATAATTTCATGGCTGGAATCTTTTTCTTTCCTTTCAACAGCATCCCCTTTAATTATAAAAACAAACAAAAATCCTGTTTAGCGGTAACTACGCATTTTTTTTTTTAACATATTGCAGACTGCTTTTCTGTAAGAAATCAAAAGCACAGGTTGTTTCTATTAACTGAAAATGTGCATTTTTATATTACAGTTCATCATAATTCTACCTTTCTTTTATTGTGACAAGAAAGCAGAAATCTTTGTCTTGTTATATCTTCCA